CCTGGGATGATGGTGAGTTGAGTGTGGAACATGCTAGTTCTTTGCAACAATCACCCTCATGCCTCATCTCTGTATTTATTTCCTTTGTCTTCTTGTCCTCCCTACAGTGGACTCTCTCTTGGACCCAGACAACAGACTGCACCTGACCACAGAGGAGCAGCTGAAGGCTTTGCTGGACAAACTGGACGTGGTTGCATCCATGCGCACCAGTGGGGGTCGAACCAAACGCATCAGGCTGCTGCGGCGAGAGATCAACAGTCTCAGACAGAAGATGAACCAGCCGCAGCAAAACTCTCAGTCTGTAAACGGTAACGACAAGGAGGAGGATGTGAAAGAGGAGGAAGAGGAGGAACAAGAGGAGAAGAAGGAAAAGAAAAAGAAGACAAATGTTAAAAATGGACCTTTGACAGCCGTCTCAAACTCTGCATCAGGTAAAAATTAGTTTCATGTCGTTAATGCCTTTTTTAAATGTATTTATCGAGCTGCAACTCCATAAGTCCAGTGTGATGTTGTTTTGTCCTATCAACAGTTCAAGACCAAATTGTTCATGAATAATACAATAAAATGCACTGTATCCTAATATTGCAGAAGCTGCAACCAGAGAAGTCTCGAGATTTGAGTTCATAAATTACTTATTACGTAATTGTTTTAGCTTTATTTATGGTTCTTCTATAACATTTGTCTTTGATGCAGATGACTCTCCGCCTGTGCTGGAGCTCACCTGCCCAGTGTCCTCTCCTCTTCCAGGCGAGGCTCCTCTGGAACCCCCCGTCCTGGGCATCGCCCCTGGAGGGCGGCGCTCTCCTGGGCGCTCCTACAAGCGTCAGAGGTCATCCCGCAGCGGAAGCAAAAGCCAAGGTGAAGACGAGGCTGAAGTTGGTGAAACACCGTCTTCACAAACAGAGGCTGTTCACGAGGTCACTCCGCTGGGAACCCCCCCGACTCAGCCTTTGGTTGGAGTCGGTCGCCGTACGTCTGTTCTGTTCAAAAAAGCTAAGAATGGAGCGCGGATGGTCAAAATCAAGTCTCCGCCTCAACAGAACGGGCTAATATCTGAGGGGAAAACCAACGGGATGGACAGCACCCCGGTCAGCCCAAAACCCCCCAGTGTGACCAACATCACCAGCTTACCTCCCACCCCCAACGCCTCCCCCACACCCCCCTCCCCCTCCTCACACCACCTGAGGTCCAGAGGCCCCAGCTCAGAAAGTGATGCTGATAAACTCCCTACACCACCCAGAGAAGAAGGTAAGAACTAAATATTGACTAAATTACAGCTAGGTATTTTGAGATGTCCATTTTTGTCACTAATTCAGTTGTGTTTTGGCCAGGCCTGACAAATGGAAAGCACACCTCTGTGGATCATGATGATGAAGACCAAAAACTAAAGTGAGTACGGAGCCACACAGGCAGTGGACCCCATGCAAGAACCTCTCCGACTTCTCTTGAATCTCACATAGGAGCACCTCGTCATGAACACTTTGCATTTATCACGCTAAAATAAGACATTTACAACAGGTTTAGTTTTGGTGAATCCAACACTCGTCCAAGCAAAACCTCCAAGGAGAAAGTTAAATGTTCAGCACAAAAATAAAAAACATATTCTTGCATGAGGCCCATTTGTCTTTGACATCCTTAGCCATTAAGTCTAGCTATAGTCTCACCATACATTTTTCTAATCATAATTCTCCTCTTGTTTACAGCTGTAGCGTCTCCCCGCCCAAACGAAGTCGTGGAAAACCTGCATTGGCAAAAGTTCCAAGCAGTGAGAACGGAGACATCTGTGGCTCTGGTGTGTATGATGATAAGCCATGCATCTAAAAACTGTAACCATCTAAAGTAGTTTAAAATGCCTCTGCTTTTTGTGTGTTTATTGGATCATAACGGAAAAGCTTTCTATGAGCCATACAGTTTCAAAAAATAAGATGTCCTGAATACAAATGAATTGAATGTATGGGAATATCCTCTTCACAGGACAGTCTACACTTCTGTGTTCAGATAGTGAGACCGAGCTCGGACCCCTGGACCTAGTTTGGGCCAAATGCAGAGGGTACCCATCATACCCAGCTATGGTGAGGATGTAGTTATCTTGGAGTTATGGTGCATCAGTCTCAGAGCTGACATAAAGAGAAAAGCCTCCCTGCTTCCTATAGAAGGGCGTGAAAATCATGTAACTTAAACTGACATTATTCATTGTTTCAGATCGTTGACCCAGACATGCCCCAGGAAGGGCTTCTTCACAACGGCATCCCCATTCCAGTGCCTCCCGTGGAGGTGCTCAAACTGGGAGAACTGAGAGAAACAGAAGAAGGGGAAAAGCTCTTCTTGGTGCTTTTCTTTGACACCAAAAGAACTTGGTAAGATTCAGAACCTCATACTGAGTTTCAAATCTATCATGAGCAGTCCTGGTCATTTTGTCTCTTCTGCTTTTCAGGCAATGGCTACCTCGGGACAAGCTTCTGCAGATGGGACTTGACGACACCGTGGACAAGCTGCGATTAATGGAAGGCAAGAAACCCAGTGTTCGCAAATCTGTGCACACTGCGTACGACCGGGCCATGGTACATTTAAATCACATCAGGGGAAATGTTAACTTCACTCCCTCCAATTTTATATAACATTTTAGTTTAAATATTTTATCATGAAAATGTCTGGGTATATGTATAGAAGCTTTATCAATGCTATTTGAACAGGCGGGGAAGCTGGTTGTATTTGAAGGTTTTTTGCTGCCTAGAAGTGATTTATAAAATGGATAGAAAAAGTGCTTGAAGACATTTTCCTAGATGAATTTGTTCATTTATTCCTGTAATTTTTGTAAAAGATTTTACACAACCACTATTGCTATGTGTTCATATAAAGTTTTTATTTTAGGGCAAAGTGAGTCAAGACTAGCTGAAAAAAGTGTAAATATGAAATTGTCAAAGGGATCGTCTTGATTCAAAACATATTTAGACTGTATTTGCCATTGAAATGTCACTGTGTTTGATGGGGTGTGAAAGTCCCAATTAATGTTCACGTCATATCTGGACTGCAAGTTTGGCTTTGGAAGATAATTCAAAGACATTTCCTTCTGAATGATCTGCTCTCCGTTGAATTACAGACCCTATTCAAGTGTGAACTCATTTAGCGAAATTGCTCGATAGATACAACAAGATAGATGTTAAGAACAATTTGGCTGCCAACTCTTGAACTTGCTGTCCAGCTAAGATGTGTGGTCGGTGGGGCTTATGAGGTCTTTACTTATTTTTCCATATTGTGAAACTGTGTTATGATACTAGAATGTCGGAGTACCTGATGCAGCTACTTGGTTAGTGAGATGTGAAACCACTACAACAGGAAAGCTGGTTATTTTGTGCTCATAACAAAGTCTACTGCGATCACTCACTGGAGAACCTGCAAGTTGTCTGCTAATCTGGCTGAAATGACTTGAAAAGCACAATCGGTTCGTTTAAAAAAAACAAAAAAAAAACGTGTAGGATTGGTGTAGCCATACACTGTATGTGGCATTACAGTGCGTGTGAGTGTATATACATATATAAATACAACCTCAGTGTAGTAAAGGTGCATGTGTATAGTTTTGTAAATATGTAAATCTATGTTTATATTGGCTTACATGAAGTAATTTAAGGAATGCGAAAATCAAATTTAGATTTTAATTTATAATTTGTGGCAGGAGAGTGTTATTTAAAAAGTAAAATATTGAAAAGATTTATGTATGATGCTAAGTAGCTCTTTGTAATAGTGATGGTATTCACCAACATGTCAGAATATATTCTGTAGGAGTGAGGAGGCACAGAGCTCTGTAGGCAGCAGTGAACGCACCGTCTACAGCAGGACGTTTTGGATCATGTCACATGAACTGTTCTGCAGGATCTATAATCTGAGACAATATTTTCTCACACAAGGATAAATGCTGTTTGAAACAACTTCCTGCGTGTGTTGTCTGTTGACTTTTCACATTTTGTCCGACATCTTCCTCTGTAGGTCAAATGATCGTTTCAAGCAGGGTTCGAGTTATAAACTGAGCTCAAGTTATAAACTGAGCTCTATGGGGGTCTTTAAAACTAACGCCTGCACGCATGCACACATAGCAGCAGCAGCCCTCTACTTGCTACAAACTTAAATATGAAAAGGTTCAACTACGCACACCACATAACACATCATCCTCGGCTCGCGCAGCACGCTCACAGGCATAGATTGCGCAATAATGTATTGCGCACCTTGGAGGTGCAGTGCAGGTGTTCTTTTGGAAAACATGTTTTTATTTTTTGCCTATTTACCTCGTTAACGTAAATAATACTCATTACATTGACACATGCATTATTTGGGATTAAAATAATGGTTGTTGGTAATGTATTAGCGACCCCCACAGACGTATGATTTCACTGCGTCCGTGGGAGCTCAGACCCTCCTTGTGGGAGCTCAGCTCCCATTGGCTCCCACATAACTCGAACCCTGGTTTCAAGTATGTCTAAGTATAAGGAGACGAGTTAACATTTTAAAGTTAAAGTGGCTTCATTGTCTGACATCAGGGCCTACGACATGGAACACTAGGTAGTCTGGGAGCCAAATATTATATTGTATTATTACATTATTATTTTTAAATGATGCAACATTTCAGGTGATGCTGGAGTTCAAGTTTGTGTATGCTGCTTGTAGGATAACATGTAAATAATTCGGCAGCTCTTGTTTCTTTCCGTTTTGTCTTCTGTCAACAACTCAATTACCCCAATTCATGAAAAGTGCACAATGATAAAAAGTTAAAGATGAATTTGTTAGCATTATTTATTACATTTTCAAATTGTATTTAGGTATTGCGCACATTTCGGTGTCATAAATTATTTTTGCCACCATAATCGTAGTGAAATCCTGACAGCCTTAGTGCCACATTTTGATAGTCTCACAGAAAATATTACAGAAAATCAGACATTACTTACAATGCGATGAAAATGTGTCATTTTCTGCTAGGTAATAAATGATGCTTGTTTACAACATCTCCACTTAATCAGGACAAGTATAGATTTGTGCAATCTGGGATTTATTTCATAATACTATAGACATACTCTTAAGACTTGAATTGACAAGAAAATCCTCAAAGGACACAAGGATGAGGCTACTGTTTATAAACCATCTTTACAAAACTGTCATCGAAAAAAGTCGCCTGAAGTCACTGCATCGAGTGTTGAGTGATAATCATTGAGCGAGCTCAGTGGCATCTTCTTAGCTAGACTAGATGACAATGAAAACACTAGCTGAAAATAATGACGTTGTCAAGTAACAGGCTGAATCTCCTACTTGTTTTCTGCACAAAATGTAACATGAATGAAACCTGATCATCTTAAAATTTGAATGACTGGGAAATACATTTCCATCACTGGGATGTGCAAATCAACAGAGAGCAATTTGCCTGTTCGTAACGCAGCCTGAATGACACATGGAGGCACATCCCTGTTCTGGAAGCCAGTTGTTGTTTTTCCAGTTTATGCTGAGCCCGAAAACATGCCACGCATTCATGCCTTGCATATCCCGTTTTGTCACATTGGGTGCTTTTGTTCCATGAAATAAATCTCTATTACAGAGTTTGTGAAAGGTAGTTTAAGTTATTTTTACTTCCTCATCTTTACTTACTGCTATTAATAGTTATAGCTTGTGAATAGCCTGTCGTCTGCGATACATTCACTGTCCGCGAGGGAATTTCCTGTCTTAATGGAGTAATAAAACAATATAAAAACATTTAAATATCATTGCAATTATTTGTCTACCACAGTTCAATTTAAAACATACTAATGCTGTTTCGCCATGACTGTTTCTGATCAGAAGCAGTGGCGCAATGACATGCTTTCTTGTTCAGGTAAAGAAATACTACTATATTGAAAGAGTTCATTCCTTCTTAAATATTGTAAAACGTTTGTAGTGTTTGATTCCAGTAGTCGATGTTTGTCTAGTCCAACATGTTTCAAAAGAGGCTTCGAAAATATCTTGGAACCAGTGTACAAACTATTGTTGAATGAGGCGGAGTGCTAAGAGAGAGAGTCCTATAGAAGAGATAAGAAGCCGTTATCTGTGGAGTCCTGCTGGTCAGATTTACCACCTCGAGAGCTCTTGCTGGGATTCGGGGTGGTTGAATACTTTGGGGGGTATCTGATGAAGAGACGGTCCTCCTCCTTCTTAATCCACCTCAGAAGCTTGGTGATAGCAGTGATAGCACAGGCCTTTGTCACCAGAGGACTGAAGCAGGTGTACAGCTCAAACTTACTGGTGACCTGCGGCAGAGAAGAACAAAGACAAATTAAAGTCACGGTCCGCATTATTATGAGAATATTTAGACATTTTTGAAATACTTCATTCAAGGCAAGGCAACTTTATTTACTTAACACATACAGAGGGTAAATTCAAAGTACATTCACTGACATGAATGACATGGATATGGCGCCACCGGTGTCGATGTTTACAATGCCGATTATTGACATTAGGTCTGGCAATGCAGTCAATCATTATCCTGGTGATTATTTCGCAGATAAACCTAGTAACCCCGCCCCCTTTTAAAAAATGGCTCTTTTGAACGGAGGAACGAAAGGAACGCAGCCATAAGATCCGGCTCCCTTCAAAGAGCCATAATTCCCATCACTATAACCTGCTGCCTTAGAAATGATCAATAAGATAAATGCTGTTTTCAGACGTTTGTATATTTTTTTTAAGTTTATAAACTGTATTTTCTACACACCTGAAGGAAATCAAGGTATTTATTATTGAAGTGTTATTGTTCAAATTGTATTACCCCCAACAAAAGAAGAAGAGTTCAAATATTCATTTTTGAACTCTAGTACAGTTCATCAAGAAAATTGCAATACCGTATTGTCTTCCTCTCAAACTATAAAAACGGTGTGTTATTTGCAGATGTTAAACCAGCTTTACCAACAATCGTATCAGAATTTGTAAATGCTAGCTTTAAATTAATGAAAGCAATTTGGCTTTGTATTGTATCAGAAAAAAACATAATGTAATTGTCCCATTATCGGCCACTTAAATATAGTTCATCCCAAATATGTATTAGTGACAGTGCCCAGTCGTGAAATAGTACAACACCTAACCCCCAGTAAAACCACAACAGCTCAATGTTCCCCTTATTTCCATTTGTTTTTATGCTAAGCTAAGCTAACAGTATCTTGGCTCCAGCTTCATATTGAACAGACACATAAGAGTGAAAGTTTGATCTAATCTAATCTTTTTGAAGGAAGCAGATGAACATACTGTATCTATGAAAATGTTTCCTTTAGTAATCCTTCAAACACATCTACAGTTCACACCCTCATGTCAACATTAGTGAATATTGGCCAAGACAGTATTTAGAAGATGTATATGGCGACAGTGCTACATACCCAGGCGAGCAGGGTCTCCCTCTCAGCCACGTGGTAGATGAGCTTGAGGGGTCGGGAGGTGCTGTGGATGCGGCTGTGCATATACCGGTAGAGGTCCAGCAGTCTCATCTTCTCCTCTTCACTGCTGTACGGGGCCTCCATCTCTGGGCTACATGCAGCAACACATTGCACAGTAAAGGTTAACGACAAAAAAGCATTCAAAGCATTACCAATAAAAAGATACAGTAAAATGCAACGGCTACTTTTTCTATCGCTAAAATAATTGAATTTGAAACCTGGTGAGTTACACTTGCAGTCTAAAAAACAGTCCTTTAGTTCTTAAGTATTATTAATATGTGAAAGATTTTCCTTCTGTTATCAAGGTTTAATTGGCTTTTTCTATTTAACACCTACTAATTAAAATTAATCTCATTAGGGAGATAAGTAGAGTGAATTGGCCTGATTAGTAGAACCGTCTGAATTTCCATCTAAGTTGTATTCATTTTCTCTTAAAAATCAGACACATTAAAATCATAAAAAGACAAATTAATTGATTTTTACACACACACACACACACACACACACACACACACACACACCCACACACACACACACACACACACACACACAA